ACGGACAGACGGACAGACGGACAGACGGACAGACGGACAGACGGACAGACAGACGGACAGGGCCAAATCAACTCAGCTCGTCACCCTGATCAAGAATATATATACTTTGTGGGGTCTGCCACGCCTCCTTCTCCCTGTTACATACATTTCAACAAAACCATTATACCCTGATTTCCCATTGAAAATGGGTTCAGGGTATAAAAACCTATGCGTGGAAAAGTTTAGCTTGCAAATTAAGCTTTGATGTATGAAACAAAAACTGGATATACCCCATAGCAAACTTGTCCAGAAGGATTAAAACTGATGACATAAACGAACATACGGACGGATAACAAGCCAGACATAACAACACTGCAGTCACAGAGCGTTTGACTTACCAATGGGAACCACGAATCCAAATGCAGCGTATGGATAAAATGAACTTAGTACAAGGCCAGTCATAAACATCCAGGCTATATTCTAAAAAAAGAGGAAGAGAATTAATCGAGGTTGCTCGATTAGGAAATACCGTAAAGCATGCTAAATCTATGTTTTAAATACATATTAGGGACTACGCTATCGGAATTTACTTGTTGAATAATATTTCTTGTAGACAGACTTTCTTAATCAAACTTTCGGAATGCAACAATAATTGGCATGTGAATATATTTACCAAAACATAAGGTATAAAAAAGCATCGTCTTTCTATCCATAAAAAAACTCGTGGAAGCGAATAGTATATAAGAGTATACATTTAAAGCTTGCTTTAGTGGGTTAATACGCTATGGGCATGAACAGTCTGCTCGTTGCCCAGACTAAGCATATAAATACTGCCACGCTTCCACGGGCATAAAATGCATAAGGATTGTTAATTATACTGTTTGGGATGTATCTTACTTTAAGAAATGCAGCGAGCATAAGAAACCCACCCACCACCTCAATAGCGGCGAGTACAACGAATAAAACGCACGCCCACAAGATTTCAGAGTCCTTCTCTTGCTTAGCATCTGTGGATAAGATAATTAATACTTCTATGATTTATATCCAAGATTGGATATACATATATAAATTTATTTTCTAGCAATATCGTATGTCGTCTAAGCCAGTATATACGTACATGGTATGGTCAAACCAAGTACTATTGCCGCTGCAAATCCAGTTACTATTATCCAAATGCAAAAGAATTGTATTTTACACTCAAGAGTACACTCGCATCCCATTTTTGTAAATGTGCAACAAATGAGAGATGACGCCAACAATTTCAAAATAACACATATAACGTATATTGAAAATATAAACACAGCTCACTTTGGACGAATTTTTTTAAAATATTCTACTGGCACTGAATCATTTCATAAATCGTGTCATCACTAAAATCCAACATTTATTTACGCTCTATACATCAATCAATTATGGTAAATTTGTCTTGTTCAATTCGAAACATATTAAAATGGTCCCATCGAGATCCATTGTGACGGAAGGGATCTCTGCCAGATAAAATTTGTAGTTAGCGCTCTGATAGCATTTTGAAAAAATATTGGCACGCATAAACGGTAAAAACGATGTGCATAACTAAAGATAAGGGGGTGAAATGAAGGAAAAATTAAGAAAACATTAATAGGTGATTATTAAAGAATAAAGTAGACTATACAGATCAGTCTGGATTATTAGATGAACTATATAGTATAACGCTATACGTCAAACCCAAACGGGATAAATTAAATTTTGATGTCTGAAATAAAAACTGAATGCACTGGATACTAATGTATAAAACATCATACTTACCCAGCGGAACCAGGAAAATAAAGGCACAGTATGGATAAAAAGAACTAAATACAAGCCCGACCATAAATAACCAGGCTATTTTCTGAAAATATTAAGATTATTAAGAGTCAGAGTGCTCTGGTCGAGATCGGGTCTTCAATACATGTATCTATCTAGTATGTATGAGTATATATTTACAATTTCAAGTATAAAGCTTTTTCGGCTCACGATATCGTTGCATTAAAAAGCACGGACGGACAAACATGGACATGAATGGAATTGTTCATATTACTGTTTGGGATAAATCTTACTTTATAGAAAGCAATGGTCATACAACTCCCGGCCACCATCTCAATAACGGCGAGTACCACGAGGGTAACGAAAAACCCCAAATGTTCTGGTCTGTTTTTCATAACAACTGTGGATAAGAGAATTGTTATTATTTTAGATAACATATTATATAATATGTTTTTTTATTTCATTTTCCTTTCGAGTTAGAATTAGTCACATACGTACTTGGGATGAGTGAGCCAATGGAAATTGCGGCGAAAAATCCAGTAACTATTATCCAAATGCAAAAGAACAGAACTTTAGTCTCGAGAGTGCATTCGCAGGATTTCCCCTTGCCGCCCATGCTTAGGATTTTTGAAGATAGTACTTACAATATTAGAGTGAATGATTCTAGAAAATGAAAATGAAACAACTAACTTTACATTTAACATATTTGCTTAGCTCACTTTGGTCGATTTCGATTCACGATGAGGCATTCTTCTGCTTGTTACATGCTTATTCAGAGAGAATAATATACCCTGATTTCGCATTTACAATGGGTTCAGGGTATAGAGAGAACAAACTCTGAAAGAAAGCGAAAACACGCGAGACAAACGCATGTGCAAATAATGAGAAAGAACTCACAAAAACCGAGGGCCTCAAATTCAATTTGAAGGAGGCTTACGCTAGAGGTGGAGGTGGGGGTTGACGTGAATGAAGAGGTAGGGCACACAAATACGACTCGGCCTAGACGCACAAATAGTTAAAGCGGAAGTAAAGGTCTCTGGGGAGGGGCATGCCGAGGCACGACGGAATCAATCGAAGAGCCCGAACCGCCCCAAGCCATAAAAACGAAATCGAAATGGAAGTCGAGCAAAAACTACTTTGTTTGCGATTAGCACTTGGCCAGCTTTTTTGCTGCAGGGCAGAGGAAGAAAGGGGGACAGAGAGAGAGAGAGAGAGAGAGAGAGAAGAAGGTTGGCAAATGAAAATGTGTGTCAATATATTGATTGAATAATGGTCTACATATTGACAAACAACTCAAAAGACACTCGACACGCGACACTCACAGAACTCGTAGCAGAGGCAGATGCCACGGCTTGACAGCCAGTTGACAGGCGGAGCAGAATCAACAGCAGCAGCAGCAGCAGGAAAAGTGGTAGATGGAGTCTACGAAAAAGAAACGCCTACGAATATGTTGAGCTGGCAAATGCAAAACAAGCATGGGAATTGATGGAACTCAGGGAATTGGAGGAAGGGCGGACTAACAGACTGGGGGACATCAAAAGGCATTTCGAGTGCGTCATCAATGCAAAGCAGCTCACAAGATGAAGATGTAGCTCGGCTGGGGAGCGGGTGTTGATGTGCTACAAGTAGATTGGCTATTATGAGAAGCGCAGAGGAGGGCAAAAAAGAAGAGAGAAATGTAGGTGAAGATATAGCAGATGAGAAGAGGATCTAAGTGACTTGATAAAACTAGATCTGATGTTGAACTGCCCATAACGTGCTATGAGATGCGCAGAGAGGAGCTCGTTCAAAAGTAGGTACAGTACGTTTCATATAAAATTTGTGATGGCTCTTGAAGTGATACTTGAAGATTATGTTATTCCAATTCAATATCAGAGCCATTGATTACGCTTTCAATTGTGCATACTTCATTCTCAATTTGAGGCTCCATGTTGAGAATTGCTGAGAAGAGCTGCTGGTTAGCCTAGCTAAAGGTGTCTGTGTAACACGTGTCGCCCTAATTAGATAAAGTTTGTTTGCATTCCAAACATACTGGCATCAAATTTATCCCCCGCTTGCCCGAAAATTTGTCACCAACTTTTTTCTTTGCATATGCTTGCCAGCACAAAGTTTGGCTCTGTCGCCTGCGTCTGCTCGTCAGGCGCACATCAAGTCAAATAGAAAAAAAAAAAAAAAAAAAAAAAAAAAAAATAGCAAATAAAAAAGTATTTACGTAAATAATTTTCATTGAATTTATTTTTTGTATGTATTTATTTATTTATTTTTCCTTTTGCTCCTTTGCGTGATATTTAAAGTCGTCGAGTTTGCTGCAGACAGAACTTTGCCTTGAAGTATTTGTATTTGATTTTCCCTTACATTTTTGCTCAGCTTTCTTATTTGCTTTTATGATTTCTCCGCACTCATTTCACCGAAAGTCTTTTGGCCAACACAAATTTCAGCTAGTTAAAATGTGCTCAAATTTTCTGTTGACGAGGAGCGAACTGTGAACTGTGAACTGCCAGCATTTGAATTTTCCATCTGCCATTTGCCATGACTGGCAGGGGCCTTTTTCTAATAGGCGGCGAGGGTACGGCGCGGGGGAATTGCCGCTGTTTAAGGAAGTGCTCTTCATAATTTATGCTCCTGCAGATTGATTGGACTCCGCTGCTCTAAAAATAACATTTAAATTAGGTTAGATCTATGAAAAATTTGTACGCAAAAGGAAGAGAAGGGATAGCCAATTAAATTACCGAATTTAATGATGATGAAGTTCAAAGATTGATCTGGAGATTTGTAGGTCATTTCACAATCCCAAAAGAAATACAAATTCTCGAATAGTTTCCCCGTTTAAATAATTTGCAACTTTAATTCAGCAAGAGAAATCCCTGCAATTTTTGTTTTCGCTCAGTGTAGGCGAAAGCCCAGTTAATTCCCAATTTAATTTACATCCAGCTACAGCCGCATGCGCCTTAAGGGGTATTTCCGCACATAATCTGTATATAAAGCGTTGCTAAAGCCTCGGCATTATTTCATAATATTTGAGGCACTCGGTTTTCAGCGGCTGCATCATTCTTGCTCTTCCTCTTTTTTGTTGCCTGCTAAAAATGAGCACAAAGAAAATGGCGAATGGGGGAAAAAATTGTGGAAAATTGTGAGAATTTCAAGGCTTTGGCTTTTGGCACTTTGTTTGCATTGTGCGAGGCGCAAACTTGTTGTTAATTAAAAGCCCACAAAAAGTAGGTAACATGCACACATAACAAGACGCACACGAACACACCTACACGCACACACACCAATACACACCGAGTATAACAATTGTTGCACATGATATTAATTTGTGGGCGCCTTTTGTGCTGTCTTTTGGCCGTGGCTCTGGCTGAGGCTGAGGCTGAGGCTCTCCTTTCTCAAAGGACAACAATGGGCAATGACAACAATGAAGGCCAGCAATGCACAGCAACAATTGCTGCTGCCACAGAAGCAGAATGAGGCACACTAACACAAATCTTTATTTAAGCATAACAAAAAAACATCAGCTTCAGCCAGGGCGGCCAGGCAGAAGTTACCGAAGCTCTCCACAAAAGCGACATGAGAATCGGCAAGCGAAAAATAAGTAAGAATGTTGTATTGTCGGGTGTGCACGACTATACGACTATCTAAGCTTTGAGTTTTTCCAGTGGTTTTGCTTAATATTTTAATGTTGGTCTTTACTGTTTTAGCCTTATATGTATTATTGAACTTATATACATATATTCACACAGTTAGACAAATGGTTCGCTTATGCACCTTTCGGATTGACTTCAGTGTTTAATATGCATTTCAGATAGAGCTAATATGCCCTGTTTAGGCACTCTCAATGTTTCGTACGGTATGAAAAATTAGAGTGCCAAAGCGCCTCAGGCTATGCAACACATAAAACTTAGCAGCTACAGCAGAGCAGAAGCACCCAAACAGCCAAAAGCCGAGTTGAATCACTGTTGTACATAGTTGAAGTTCGGATTCGGAATCGGCATCGGCATCGGCATCGGAGCTGTAGTTGAAGTTTTTAGGTTGCTGTGTTCTCTACAGCTAATAGGTTTGCACGCTGCCCCTTAGCATGAAAAGTGGCGCGACTCTAAGTAGGTCAGAGCAGTTTATTCCGTTACGTATAATCAACATATGTCAGCATTAAGTCTGGTCGAATGGGACTACGCGCTGATATCGCTGAAATGTTTTATTTTGTGTCAAAGTGAATTGAAGTTTAGTTACAGAGGATGAAGAAGAAAGGCAAAAGCCACAAATAGTTGGATTACTCTTAAAATATAATTCGAACCTGAATCAATTGGTCTCGTTCCAGTTCCATTATCGGTCAGTGTAAGGACTTGCTTTACTTTTGCTTGATTTCTATTAGAAATAGATTTTGATATGCGCCGCATGAACCTCGTCAGCAACCATTGTATGTTGCTGTTGCTGCTGTTGCATCTGTAGTCAGCAGCAACGGCAACAACGACAACATCTGGGGGCTCAGCTTCAAGTCTCTTCGCATTTCAATGCCCGCTGGGTGTTTAAGCCACATTCGCTTAGTCGAATTGGCAGTCGACTTTAAACTTTTTCTAATGCGAATAACCGAGTCAGACTACAGCCTATATTTAGGTATATATAACTATTTACGGCGGCTATCTGTGTGTGTGTGTCTGCCACGCCCCCAGCAGTGCTGGGCAAATGGGAAGGCTGCCAAAAAGTTTTTGGTTCGCAAACTTTTCTGCATATATTTTGGCCACAAAACGGAAGCTTGTTTTTCTTCTCGTGTCTCGTGTCTCTTTTCCCATTCTCCATTTTCCATTACCCTACAACTTCTTTTTACTCCATTTTGCTTGGCTTTTTTCTATTTTTTGCCTTTGGGCATTTTTAAATGCTTTAATCGCAATTTAACAAATTGGAAAATAAAAGGGATCGTTTTTAAAGTTAGTTCTTGCTCTTGCGCACAGTGGTCGAAAACATCAAATTGCAGATAAAAAGAAAATTTCAATTTGGCCATGTTATTCGCTCTGGCTTAATTCAAGTCTATTCAAATCCGCTACAGTCCGATTCTCTTTCATTTGTAGGATCTGGAGTCGAGGCTCAGCATGCGGCTGACCATTGACACGGCTCGGCGCAAGGAGGAACTGCTCAAGTTGTGAGCGCAATGTCCACTCGGCCCACATGTCCCACATGGAACGGAACACGCCCACTTTGGAGGCAATGGCCGTGCCAGCGGCCGTGCAGCGGCTGCACCGACCGCCGGATGTGGAGACGGCGCTCTCATCAATGCTATGGACGCCCTACGATCGGGCAGGCAGCTCCACCTCGGAAGAGGACGACGAGGAGGAGGCGCAGCTAGAGGCGGAGGACGAGGACGAGCGCCTCAATCGCAAGTTGCGCAAGTCCCACAGCAGCTACGAGGCGAGAAATCACCTATCAATTGCGCCACCTGCTGCAACACCTGTAGCCGCCGCTCCCCCCGTGCCTTTCCTCAGTTTCAATAAGGCGAGCCATCGCAATCGCTATTCGTATCCAAGCTACTATGGCAGTCCGGCTCACACGCTCATCCAGTGGTGCTCCTCGAAGGCGACGGCGATCAAGGAGCCGCCCTCTTACGACTCCCTCTACCAGCCGGGTGTATCCGGCGTGGGCGTGGCCAGGGCTAGCCTGGCAGCCGTCGTCCAGCTGCCGACAAACTA